TGTAAAAATTAAATATAATAGTTATTCAATAAGCTTCTCTCATTATAAATTTAACAATTTGGTTCCAGTTTTATCAGCTTAGAAAAACAGTATGTCCTTTAATTTGCTTCCTCAGCATCAAAATGTTCTAAAAACTATTATTATCACTTTGACTTTACTCAATATTGTAAGTAAATGTGATTACATATTACTATCAAAAACTTTTTTCACTTTCTGCATGTTAAACCTTGTCTTTCTATAAATCATTAAAACCACTTCACCGAAAAAATGAACCTATTTCAGAAATTAAATTTGTACTCAAATAGTCTAATGCAGCCAATATAAATGAGTGAATCATTCATTACAGAAGTTAAAACTTAACTGTTTTTTTTAATATACATGAATATATACAGTGTATAAAATAATTAAAAAACAGTCAGAATTTATAATATTATGGCCATGATACAGAAAAACCATTGTTAAAAAAATAATCACTTCTCGACTCACTGCTGTGCAAGTCAGGCATGTGTTGATCAATTGCATGATCTGAAACACAAATAATTGTTCACACAGCCAATGTTATACAATCTTACCTTAGTTGTCTCTTTGAAGTTAATCATACAATTTAATGCACTTCAAATCATTCTTCAAACATGGCTAAATTTGAAAGACATTTTGATATTTCACTCATGACGATGACCAATCATACTGGACCAATCACAACAAGCCGTTTCAAATTAACTACAATTTTTCAAAGCGTTATTAAGACTACTTTCAAATAGTACAGTAGCTCTGACATTAATACAAGGCACACTACCAGCCAAACAAAAGCAGATGACTGTTATTTGTCAAACTTACCTCGTCACAGATTATTATAAAGAGACTTCAAAGGCTAGTCTGCATGGCAGATATCGAACGAGGTGCACTTAACCCAAACCATGATACATAAATACTCCCCTGCAGTAGTGCCAATGACATACGAAGTAATAAAACTTTTTTCTACTAACAAGCCTGCTTCACCCTGCAGTGAGGTAACAAGACTTGTATATATTTAGAGTTTGAAATCAAATCAAATCCTAATTTCATATGTGAAACGCATGATGATGATGGAGATATGGACAAAAATAAGTACTGGAGATCCTCTGTACCTTGCAGAATGGTGACTTTAATACCATGCATTATAGGGATCATATTCTATGACCAATAACTTCCATTTCAGTTTTTATGATGGATCATCAGATGTTTGATATCCATAAAAGTAAAATTATGGGGTGATTCACATTATAAAAGTGATATTTTGTCATAACTAATATACCATAAGTTCAACCTATCTTTTGTTTTGTGAGTCTATTAACATATGACCAGTAGAGCCTGCAAATTTTTTTTTATCATAATAAAAACAGTTTTGGCTTAAACAAATACATTAGAATTTCTACTATTAACCACCTCTTAAAAATTGGCAGCTCCCAACAAGATCAGTGTTTTTTATCCTGCTTTTAGTGTCCACTCTTTCTTTAATAAATTATGTTCTTCAGAATAACCTTCTATGTATTAAGAACAATGACTACTTGTGAGTGAAAACAAGCCTCCACAAAGAGACCACTGGAGAATTACTCTTATGTTTCACACTCCATTCAACATCTTTTGTTATTGGCCGACTTACCTTCTTGGAGCATTTTTTCTTTAATTTTTTTGGTACACAAACTTCTTGAGAACCCTCTTTCTGATTGGCTGATTTACTAACTTAAAGGGCTTATGGCTGACACCTTAGATGGCCTATAAGCAGAAGATCAAAGGGCTGTAGAACCACCCTGTTTCAATAGATCATGTGTATATAAACCAGGTTTGTGAAATTTAGTGACATCTTTGTCTCATTAAGCTATCATTATACTACAAGTGTACAAGCTAGTTTTATTTTTTCCACAAAAAATGTCTGTTTATGACACATCATGTAAAACTTGATGTGAGGGGCAAAAATGCCTTTATCAAGACAGATGAAAAAGAGAAACTCAGCATAAACTGACAGAACACATCAGAATTGTGAAAACTCAAGTTCAAAGCATTTAGAAACAGAAAGCTCAGTACATGAGTGAACCTGAAGAAAATAATAACCTGGCATGCAAGAGCATTTGTAATTCTTATGTCAACAGTCACCAGAAAATTGATGACACTACATGGCAGTAGTTTAAGAGAGTCAGAGGAGTCAATGCACCAGTTAGTGGTCTGATCCTTCAAGGAGTTGCTTTTCAAGTTTGCCACAAAATTTGGTTTCAAGCAAAAGGATTTCAAAGCTTCAAATGGGTGGATTTAAAAGTTCAAAGCTAGACACAATATTTCCACCGCAGTCCTCTCTGATGTGCACTTTGCTGATGATTGGAAATAAAAACTTCACAACATCATTGATGATTATAATCCATGAGATGTCTTTAACGTGAATGAGACAATTATTGTTTTGCACTCTGCCAAACTGATTGTTCATTGCTAAAGGTGAAGAAACTGCAGGCACAAAACAGTCAAAAGACTGAATAACTGTTGCACTTTGTGTCAATGCTGTTGTGAATGTGAACATCCACTGATAATTGATCAGTGGAAAAAAAACATGCTGTTTCAGAAACCTGGTTATTATGCAGCTTCCAGTCATGTGGTATTTTAATAAAAAGACATGGATGACCAGTGATTTGTTTAGACAGTGGATTAAGACTTGCAAAAAAATGCATGGAAACTAGTAGCAAGAAAGTTCTTTTGGTTGTCAGTAATGCTCCCTCACACTTTCAACAGGAGCTATCAAACGTCCATTTAGTATTTTCCTAGTGATTACAACAGCAGTCTTGCAGCATCTTGACCAGGGGTTGATCAAAGTTAGGAAATGTCATTATTGCTATTGTCTCCTGTGCTACATCCTAGACAAATATGACAAGGCCAATGATGTCAGTCAGTTAGCCAAAGCTGTCTCTATCTTAGATGCTTGCCACTGAGTCAGAGAAGTGGTGAAGGAGATTAAAGCCTCCACAGTGAAGAAGTGCTTCACAGCAACAGGTTTTCCCACCTCTATCTCCGAGGTTTTAAATGACAACATTGAAGACAAATTTCATTCTCACAACAGTTAAAACTGCTTAGAAATGCCAATGACCAACTGAAAGTTAATGAGCTGTCTGCAGAAGAATACATTTCTCAATGGATGTCAGTAACAAAGAACATGAAGACCGCCAAGGTGATTTCATTGACAAAATTGCTGATGAAATTCTTCAGTCCACAGCTTCTTCAGAACCTAGCAACCAAATGACCAACCAATAACACTTCAACTAATACTGGAAGATGGTGACACAACAGACAAAGCTACCATCAAGAACTTTGCTGAAGCAATGAAGTGGGCAAATGAGCACAAACAGTTTTGCAGAGAATAGTAAAAATAACTTGTTTGAAGCAATGACAACCACTGAAAAATCTTTGCAGAGAGACTGTAGATTCTTTCAGCTCCCAAACTAAAATTTCCATCTATTTTGATTCATTGCCTTAAATTGAATTGAAATGTTCTGGAACTTCTAAAATGCACGTTTCTATATCAAATATAGTTTTTTTTGCATTTATATTAACATGTATACATGTAATGTAAGATCAAATGTCTATAATGTTGTGAACTTTACACTATATATGTTTATGCATGCTTTCATTTTTTGATACAGATTTAAATGTATATATGAAATAAAAACACAATAAAAATAAATAAGAATACAAATGTACTTCTGTATTTGTTCATAATACATGTTTGCAAGTAGTATAAGTGGCTTTAAAAAAATGGTTTAGTGAAAATGTGAGATGAAAAGAAATGTACAAGTGGATCCAATGAGGAAAGGCAGGATTCATGTTTATGATGTGATCAGTTTCTGGTTTCTGCAATCAGACCACCTCTCAAAAGAGACCATTTAAGCTCAGTCCCATCACAGGTTCTATTGTACATCTTTCCTTGCAAAAGTACTTCTCAACAACAACTGAAGTCTAAATCCTTCAACACAGTTTCAGATTTACACACTAACTGTCATCAGTATGGTTATATAACAGCACAAATACCAAAGTATTATTTTGTATATAATACACTTACATTTTGGTAAGTTGCTAAAACCAAGCCAGTATTGTAATCTACTATTTTTTTTCCAAATAAAATCAGTTTGACATTTATTGTCATTATATAGTAAAAACATATGGCAATTTTTCCTTTGTCATTTATAATGGCTTTTGTATTTGTTCGTAAATCACTAAATAAACTCTTCTTTGCCATTTTCTAGAATCCTCCACAAACTCCATTTACATCAATTACAAGTAACTAAAATGTATGACAATGTACTTGTGACGAAGAATAACATAATGTAATAATTATGTGTGTTTTTTTTGTTTTACAAGTTACAGCTTTTACAGTAAGGAAAAATTTTTATTTAAACAGATATGAAGTTTTAATCACTGGTGCAATCACTCAAGTACACAGTCTGCAAATATTTTAAAATGAAAAATTTAACCTTTTTTTTAAACTTTAAATGATAACTTTATTAATGCATACACAGTTTGTTTTGGGATTATTTTGTGATGTTGGTCTTTTCTTTACTACACAAAAATTGTCTTTCAAAATTACAAGACAAATTTATTGAAGCAGAAATACTTATTTTTTCATTAAGTTATTTATCCCGGTCCTTTCTTTGCAAGATAAGTTCTCTAAAGTAAAGTAAGGACAATTCACATTAAGTCTATCAAGATAGCTCAGTAATAAGATTGCCAAGCAGAAAAAAAATCATAATTTATTCCTGTGCAGCATTACCATTAATGCCTTATTTCTGAAACTGTTGAGACACAAATTCATTACTTTACATTGGAGTCTGATCTTCACAAACCAACCTACATGCATCATTATTAATTATCATTATACAAATATACATTATATCAATATACAAATAAATAACTACTAGTTAGTCGTTTTTCCATGTGGTATTCTTCCTTGAGTGATTAAAATTCTGTATTTCACATGAAAAAAGGGAGTTTTCAGAAAATGATTTTTATTTTACATAAAAAATCAGATAACTTTATTGAAGTTATCTGTTGAGATACAGTCATATGAAAATTAGTTTATTATATACATGAAGAATAGAACATACACACAGCTTACAACATCTGTCATATTTGATATTTTCTCAAAACTTCATATGATCTTTCTTTCAAAGTATATATTAAAAAAAATAACTTACCAGTGCTCTTTCTAACTTTCAACCGACAAGGGGAAAAAACCTTTGCTTTTGCATTTAAACTTTACTGTTACAAATGAATAAAAATCTTTATGTGACAATTGTGAATGTGTGTTTACTTAAAGTTACTTTGAAAACAATCACACAAAAATAATGAATTTATGAAGGAAAGCTGATTTGGGGAAAAAAGAAATTTCGATGCAAGACTGAATAATGGTATATTTTTACACAAAACCATTTTAGTGTGATAGCGCTATCTCACAGATGCAAATATTATGTGCCTTTTAGACAGGCCCGTGTTATTTGCAAAATAAAATGTTATAAACCTTCTTATGAATATTTCTAGTGGTCCTGTCGGTGTCTTTTCCAGAATCGTTTCACATCATCATGTCCTGCCCGACTGACAACCATTACTCTCTTGGATGAGTTGTCCCACACCAACACACCTAGATCCTACCAAAAATAAAACTTTCGATTTGAAAAACATTTAAGCATGTTTTATTTTTTGTGTATAATTTTTTTCTAAGCTTTTTTACTTTATTAAAAGGATAACATATCAGTACTTTTAAAAATACAACTTATAAAACAGGCTTCAATCTATTTTATGATACTTTATGACATGGTAGTTAAAATATAGTGTATAAGACTTTTAGGCCATCAGTTCACTACCAACCAAGTCAGATGCAACTTGTTAAATCATTAAAAAAAATCACAAGTAGTCAAACAGAAATACTTTCATCTCATACTAGAAACATTGGGCAAAGTGTAACTTTTATCTGACTTATATGTTGAAATTAAACCTCTAATTAGTTATCATCACAAGTAAGATTTTTCCAATGATACGTGTCTGCTTCTGCAAAGAAGAGAAAAAGTGGTATCAAACACATGTTGGTTCAATGGACTACAAAAGTAATTTGCTCCTTAACTGAGCTATTGGAAGAGAGGTAATACCTGTTGAACATAACCACTAAAGACGAATACAACTGTCAGATTTGGCGAAAGGGACTGCAAGAAGTTTGGAGACTAAAAAAATAGGAACAAGGAATTGTGTAGAAATATTTATTAAAAACTCTAGTTAAAAAATATTTAAATTATTGTATACCTATAAACATTGTTTTAACTGATTTTTTAAATAAAGTATGGAGACATTATTAATTAAACTACCAGTATAATTAGGTCTAGTACTATAGCTTATATTCTTTTTCAATATTAGTACCTAAAATACAAAGGTCCGCAAGCATCATTTGTAGATTACATCTTAATCATCTGGTTAAGAACTTATAAAGAGATCATTTTAGGCCTAAGTTAAACATATCATGTCTAAAGTTGAGGGCCTAACATGCACTGACTCAATTTCATAAATCTCTATATAGGTGAGGTCAACAAGTGGATCTAAAGTTAAATATAACTCAGAAAGGATTTTTATAATGCTTTTAAATTCAAAGTTCATTTACTTCAATAGATTAGCTGCATATTTGTGCATGTGGTATATTACAGGTCACAGTGAATGCATGGTTAAATTCAGGACATTTAGTGCTAAAGCACCTGGATTCTGTCCCTTAACTGGTTATTGGTTGCAAGCATCTCGGTTTTGCACCTGTATTCTTGATAGACATCTGAAGAGATTGGGTATCCCTAATACTAGTTAAGTGCCATCATGCAGTTATTTGCAATAAAACATTATACCTTTTATTTTTATAATTAGTAAAGGACTCCCTTGCTCCACTAGAAGAGAGGTTGGGTGGGACTCGCATTGAGAAGTCCTGAGGAACGATGTTCTGCAGACAATGAACCATGTTCCCTATTTTGAAAAGCAAACCAACCCCAATTTGTTCAATTCAGGGGTTAGCCAGGATGGCCAAAGTCCCTTTACGCTTTACTCATGGTCGTCCATGAGTGGCAGTCCAGTATTGTATATTATGTGTGATACAAAACAATTGTTCACCACCCGGAAGTGCCAAGGCAGTCTTATGGATCACTCCATCTCAACATAGCTTGTTCTTACCAGGAATTTAGTTATTAGTCTACTGATAGCTAATGGGGATTTGTAAAAGCATACCTGACCAGGCAATATACCACTGATATTGGGGTCCAAAAGAGAATGACAAGAAGGTCTCGGAAAAAGTAATAGCACAAAAGAAATGAAGTTACTCACCTCCATCATAACTTAGCCGGGGTGTGTAGAATAGCCACAGAAGATAGCTGAAACCCATCCGAGGAGGAAACTACTAAATCATGTAAATAGTGTGATATAAAGGTGTTAGGTGTGGTCTACATACCAGTCTGGACAATTTCCTCCACCAGGCTATGCAACCAATCTGCCAGGGACAGCGATATATGTCAAACTGGATGAGATGAGACCCTAAGAAGTCTCCACCCCTCCAATGAAAGACCAGAGTAAGCTATCTGAACCCAGTGACGAATCCAACTTGTCAAGGTGACAGGGGATAAGTCTTGTGATATTGAAGAACTCTCAATGGATAAATAATTGGCAATGTGAGCTTCAAAATTCTTCAGTATGTCACATAACAGCTGAGAGCCTGAACAGGGCATAAAAGACAATCCAATTCTGAACAGTCATATAAATGGGAAAAGGAGGGAAGATGAATAGGAGAGAAAGCCTTATCTCCTTCCTTAGCTGCTGCAATTTTAGGTACAAAAGGACATCTGTCTAGATACAACAGAATGTAGTTGGAATGGTACAGTTTCCTGTGAACATGAAGAATATCAATATGCCTACTAGTCAATAACAAAAGAAGTGAAAAATAATACATTGACCCCAAATTCAAAAGGTGGACATGAAAATGCATGGAGAACCACTGTGATATCCCAATTAGGAACCTGGAAAGGGTGACGAGGGCAGATAACCAAAATTATTTCAAAAGTAATGACAAAACTGGGGACTCAAAAACTTGTTCTCTCTTAGAAAAACAAAAAGTAGCTGATAAGGCAGCCTCATACAAGGCAACAGACAAAGACACCAAACTTTTGTCAAACAGTCATGTAAAAAATTGAGAGACACGTGGCACAGTGGGACATGAAGGGTTAAACCCTTGTCTGAGAGACCAATGACGATAAGTAAACCATTTCCTTTGATTAACTTCCAAAGAGGAATGTTGAATAGAATATGGATGCCACTCATGATGTCAATCCCTGATTTCCTGTGATGGACTACATAAAAGACAGGCTTGAATTCGAAGAATGCTGACTGCTGGATGAAAAATATCTGACCGAGGCTGACATAAGAGAAATGGCCAGTGAGAAAGGGGAAGAGGTTGACACTCTTGAAGATACTGGAGGAGTGGAAACCAGGGCTGCCACCAAAAGTACTTGACAAGACATGGAATGAATCGGTGCCAGAACCTTGGACAGCAGAAGAATATGAGGGAATAAATAAAGATGAAGACCCATCCAATCCTGGCTGAGAGCATCTACTCCCAAAGCCAGAAGGTGAAGTACTAGAGACCAGAAGGATTGGAGCTGAGCATTCCAGTGTATGGCAAAAGCATTGATCTGTTGTGTCCCTAGACAACAGCAGATCCAACAAAAAACTTGAGAATGAGGCATACATTCCGCAGGAAGAGCTCTATTGGGACAAGATAACTGGTCAGCCACTAGATTCATTATCCCTGGAACGTGACAAGCAAAGGAGAAGATCCCCTTGCTTTAAAATGTACAATACTACTGTGGAATTGAACGAATGAAGCATTACCATCTTTCCTCTCAACAATTCAAGACCCAGAGTCATAGCTTATTAAACTGCTAAAAGTTCTAAGATATTGATAGGGAAAGAAGCTTCCTCTAACTGTCGAAAGTCCCTTGAATTCCATATTTTCTATACAAGTAGCCTAGCTCTGAAGAAAAGCATATGTGATCAGATGTATCTCTGGCCGTGGAAGTGGTAGAGGGACACTTACTGTTGTGCTGTCCCTATTCAACCACCAGCTGAGATTCAGCAAACTTGAATCCCACAGTCGCACTGGACAATACAGCACATCTGTGCAAATATTCCACTGGTCCTGTAACAACTGTTGAAGGGGCCTCATGTGGGCCTGACCTAAAGGAATGAGTGATTCCAAGGATACCCACATCTCCAAATGAAATATAACTGTGCATGTTGGTAGAGAAGGAGACAACTGTAATTGAAAAATTGCTCATTCCATGGCCTGAAGGCACAGAGGAGAAGGTTGGACCTGCCTTAGTCTGGAATTGAAAAACACCACTAAATTGATGAGGTACTGTGTGGGAGTAAGAATAGACTTCCCCTTTTTAATAAGAAACCCAGCACTTGCAGCTCCTGGTTACAGAGTTTGAGTGTGCAGTTCTGCCAAATGGTGAGAAAGGGCGAGAAGCCAGTCATCCATGTAATGGTGAGTGTGAATGCCAAGGGAGTGAAGATCACGTGAAAAAGCTCTGACTATCCGGTAAAAAATGTATGGAGCAGATGTGAGGGCGAATAGTAGAGCACAAAACTGAAAAACCTGGTTGTCATGCACAAAACGAAGATAATGCCTTGATGATGCGGTGATCTAGATATGAAGGTAAGCATCTGTGACGTTGAATTCTGTCATCCATAATCCAGGTGAAATGAGCCACGAAAGGGAAAGAAATGACTCCATTATAAACTGAGGAGGCTGGAGGAAGTAATTAAGATGGGAAAGGTCAATGACTGGTTGCCAATTGCCCGTCTTTTTCGATACTACAAAAAACTGAGAATAAAAACCCTCGAGAAAGGAGGTGATGCAGTCTATGGCCTCTTTATGTAGAAAATCCTGGATGGCTTGTACTTGACAGTTAAAAGTAAATGGGTCCTTGGGGAGTGGAAATCCAACCGGTATTACAGACAGAGGAAGAGGAGATGTGAACTGAATGATCAATCCATTACTGAGAACTTGAAATCTAGTTGTATCTTACTGCAAAATCTAATCTAATTAAAAGAAAGTTGCATACCACAAGTAAAATTAAAAAATGAACTGTATGTCACCATGTCCTGAGTGTACAGCTGGTGTCTAACATGTGCTATTTACACAGTTAGAATGAAACAACAGAAGTGTTGATATATACTTCTGTTTAATTATGTCTTTTACTTCCACTAAAATGTGTAGTATTAAAATATTTTATACTAAATAACTCTAAGTATGTTCAACGTTATTTCACAACTACTACTACTACTATTGTGTTTGAAAACACTGTAAGTATACATTTCATTAAAATTTTACAAATTAAAACATTTAAAGCCTCTTTCTTACTTTCTGGGTAACTTATAATAAAACACATGCATTTCAAAAATGCTTCAAAATTCTAATTGTAGGATAAAGAAATCACTTGAAAGATAAGGTTTTCCTGAAGCTATATACAAATTCTAGTTCACAAGTACATGAAACAGCACAATAAAAAATTCAAAGTTAACACCAAGGTCACTTCACAATTCTCAGAATACTTAACACGTACATATGTCAATATCTTATAGATGCTTTAAATAGGTTCTGATTTTTATTCAAACACATGCACATAAAACACCACAACAAAAAATTCAATGTTAACACTACCTTTTTGTCACTTCAGAATTCTCAAGATGCAATAAGTAGCAATAAATAATCTACTTACCCTTGCATAGTTCCTCAGAAGTTCAAAGTCATTTTGAGACAGAAACTGGCTGTACAGAACTCCTTCCTTAAAATTGAAACGATCTCTTTCTACTTCCCATAACCTTATTTGATCCATCACAGTAGGTGGAATTACACATTTCTGTAGATTGTAAAATATTTCAGTAAAATCTTTCTTGTATCAAAGTTCATCACATAACAGTTAATAATGTGTATAAATCAAGGTATCATAAGAATATTAGGCCTCTTTGAGTAACATTCTGCTATAAGATCATGTGGAAGTATATGAACTACATAATTTCCAAGTAGAAGAAGAAGTGCAATGTCAACTTTTTTATATCTACCCTGAGTTTTTGTTTTGATTTTCCTTGTGATTTTGTCTCAACTATTTGTTCCTCGTGTTTAAAACTACTGTTTAACTGCTCGAATTTTTTCTTAAGTGAACCAACATTACCAGAATAATGAATGATAAAAAACCTAGTGAAAAAAAGCAGGAAAGAATGAAATAAGAGTAAAGAAATGAAAATCAAAGAAACAAAAGTGAATCAACCATCTAAAACATGATCAATGATAGAAAAAAAATCATTTATCCAGAGATGTCAGTCACTTTTCTTCACAAAGAAGTGAGGAAAGTGCTTAAGTTTAAGATAAAGAATAAGGCTAAACAATATAATTCATATTATATTTGCTGCTTGCATTCAATCTTCTTGAAAATTTATTAATAAATCTTCACAGAGAGTTTGGAAGTACTTGTTGCATACATAAAAAGAAATGTTTGGTGTCCTCAGGTGCACTGATTTAACTTAGAGATAAGAATAGTACTGAAAATAACTTGAGTAATAGCAAAAAATGTATTACAGATTTAAAACTGAAATTCCCGCCAAATTGGACTTAGGAAAGAGACAAGACTCGACTCAAAATATCAGTAAGCATCAAGCAACTGTATATTAAACAAAAGACAAACAAATTAAAAACAGTGCATAAAATAGAATGGATGGACTTTATATTTTTCTTCCTCTTCAATCAAGATGGTTCTGTTAGGGTTGCTCATAGTGATGAGACTGCACTGGCTGTACAGCTGGCAAACTTGGCTTGGGTGTGTCTGTAACAAATGCTCGCATAAGAGCAACTGAAAGCTCAGTCAACAATCCTGCCTAAAAACCTCACTTTCCAGACCACAGGGAAGCCTGGACATCAGAGGTTTCCACATGCAGGAGATTTTTATCTATCATCTCTTCTTCAGCTACCAGTAAAAACCGCTCTATTACTGGAGTCTTGGAATCCTATGGTACTCCTTTCTGAAGGTAAAAATAATGTAGTCTCCATATCAAGGATATCCACTTCTGTTGCTAACAAAATAAATGAAAAAGCAGCTAAAAAGCTAGAAACAAAATCTACTCTGTGAAAAGGTTTTAAATAAAGGCACACATATCTACATGGATATTGCCTCAGAAAATACTTCCGAAGCACCTATAGACATTCCACTCCAGCAAGCTTCATATGGAACATACATTACCCTAGAATAATGCTTGCTCCCTGTGTGGTGGTTGCTAATTGACAATTCTTGCTAGAGTATAGTTACTATCCATGTTCAATGAGTCTTACACCATTGTCTAGTCCATAAAAACAGATTCTAGGTTCAATAGGGGTAAAACTACATGTTTGGTTTCCTACATAGGTAACTGAATTCAGGTTAGGAACTATGCATATACTGGAATTTCTCCCTTTACTGTGAGATTCCTTTTAGCATTATACTGTCAATCACTTGAGTTTCTAATACATAGTACAACTTAAAGGAACTTATGCCTTCAGGCTATACAATCACAGGCTACATTAGCATGTGTTCAAACTGCAACATGTACAAAAGAATAATATTAAGAAAATATTAACCAGAATTGTTCATTTATACAGTATTTCAATTCTATAAAGTTTAACACTTCACTTCAAAACCAATGAAAACATTATGTGTACCATACTTTTCCTTAGGTTCCAAACTCTAAAGATAATTTCACTTTTTCTATGAATATTTCAACTCTACCAAATGAAACATATCTTCAATGACATTAATGAAAACATTGGATAACTCTATGGTTTTCCAGGTTGCAGTGTAAGTTAACCAGTTACTTTCACCTTCTGCAAGCTCTAAAAATATTCTCTCATCACTATCAACTAAAATATTGGGTATACTGTATCTTCCTTTCATGTGGCTCAAACCAATATCCACAGTTTTACTTTATTTATTAACATTTTAACATTCTAACCAAATTTTTTCTTCAATGATGATTCTGTTCTTTAAATATTTTACCTATGTGTATAAAAAAACATAATGAACAAATTTGCATATAATGTACATATACGTTTTGCAACTCCAAACATAAATAATATACATATAATAATATATATAAATAAACAGAAAGAAGCCCAAACAAAAATGAAGAGGATCCCCAGGGTACACTCTATAATATGGCATATAAAATATGATCTGGATTTTAGAAGTGACTGCAAAAGAAGGACCCACATTGCAGTGGGGATAAACTGTCCCTCAGTCTTAACCTCCGTTCACCAATCTCACATGAAGAAACTCAAAAAATAAAAATAAAATAATCAAAAGATGTACATATTACGAGAGTGAGATGTGGATGCTCAAGCCCACAATGTCCCACATCTATATCACCCTTCACTGCCTGCAGACAGTTGTGGGAAGGTGGCTGCTCTCCAAAGTAAAGAAAAAGAAATAAGGTTCTACCATTTGGGGGTAAGTAAGATAAACTTATCTGCTGAGGTTGGTATTCCAGCCCCCAATGTAGTAG